CCCCAAAACCCCAAAACCCCAAAACCCCAAAACCCCATAAGTCTATTTTAACTTTTAATGAGTAAACTCTAATAATAATAAATTGGAAATGTAGAATAAAACACATAAGAGTAAGGCAAGAAAGTAAATACATAATGACATTGAGTTAGCTGATGTTACCTCCTGTGATACTACTGATGACTCAAAGGACGAGTAATTGAAATAAATTTAGCAGTCATACCAAATTGTATCTTAAAAGATTGATGAATCTACTAATAATAATTCTGAACTTGTGAGTAGAGATCTATAGACTGTTGAAGATTAACTATCTAAAAAAGACAAAATTAAGCCGATAATTGGAATGATTTTTGCAATGGGGTCTATAGTCAGCGTTGCAATCACTATGTAGGTATTTAAAAGACTTTAACAAGCAAACCCAGAATTTACTACAATTGAGTTAATGATCGTTAGAGGCTACTCACAAGCATTTTTTCAATTTATCCAATATAAAATAATGAAGGTTAAATAATAAACCTTAGACAAACAGCAGAAATCTCTTATTGCATAAAGGACTATTATAAATATTATAACTATGTATGCTTATTGGTATGCTCTCTAATATCTATAGATGGCAGTACTATCTAGTATAGTCTTTTTAATACCTTTCATTACCCTGATTATTGGGTATTTTACTCTTAGAGAAACCTTGAAATTTACTGAAATTATCAACATGATATTATCTTTTGGGGGTATGCTTTTAATTGTATGTTTTCAAGAGAAATAAAATATTCAAAATGAAGATTAAAGCTCGATGAACGTTGATCAATTAACTTATTATATCTCTATATTAATTGCTTTTGCTCAATCGTTTGGAATGGGTTATGTGTATATATTAATAAGGAAACTCAAGGCTGTGCATTTTACTGTAATTAATGGTATCTATGGCATCGTACTATCAATTGTTTCAACGATCGTGTGGTATTTATGTAGGAAGTTGCCCAACCCAGAAATAGAATATAACTTCGACTCTTACTAAATTATACTTTTAGTTATCACTGGAATATTTGGTAACCTCACTAACCAATTGTAAATTATAGCTTTGCAATATGATAAAGCAAGCAGAATAGCTGCCTTGAATTTCTTCTAGGTGCTATTTTCATTTGTTGGTGATATTGTATTCTTTGGATAGACCTTTAGCTATATGTAATTTGCTGGTGCTATCCTCATTGGCTGCTGCTCATCTGTAATAATGTTGATGAAGTATTTAAATTACTCAGAATGAGAGAGAATAGAGATTATTGATTGAAAATATCATTCTACTAAATTTATCTGATTTAAAATTGTTAAAATGTTACAATTTTGATTTAAAATAATGCTTTTTGATAGTTATTTCTACATTAAGGGGTTTTGGGGTTTTGGGG